ATATATATATATATATATATATTCACTACAATAGATGTTGCAATTCATTACAATAAATGCAATTAATGTTGTGACTTACTGCGATAAGCTAGAATACAAAATAATTCAAGAAAGATATATTCATCTTTGAACAGTCTACACACAGCATGGCCATATGATATGTTCTACCAAGGTCACTTCACAATTTCTCACGCCCTTAAGAAGTTAGACACAAGATGACTATGAGGCGAACGTAGTTCCTTTCAATACTTTTATAATACTAACCAAAAAAGAACGCATTCTCTCACCTCTAACATCATACCTAGCATACTATTCGATAAAATTGGCAAACAATATGTCGACTGAAAAAGTAAATACATCGCAGACATAGACATCAACGGTAGCGTCAACAATAATCGATTATATATAATGCACACACATACACAGAAACATTTACGTACGTATTTACAGACACAAAAGTCAGCAATCAATTGCATTACTGTCCATATGTACTAGTAATGTCTACCAATGCCTAACAATGTGATATGTTAAGAGATTACAGTCTTGTACTTAATTTCACCGCAAAGACAACATCGACTAAACTTCATCAGACTTGGTTATCAAGTGCTGAAAAGTGTATTCGAAGACTCACCTGTAAAACGCATCCTCAGCAAAACATACTGCACCTGCGCTTCTTCAACGACGTGACATGCTCTTGTGATAATTTCTTGGATAACGCTTCATATACATATATATTTGGTACGGTATAAAAAGTGCCTAATGTCTATCTTCCACAGTGATTACGACATAAAGAATGAGTTAACGACGAATAAAAAGTGTGACCCAAAACTGTGTCATAATACGATAACTTCTCACTGTTTTATTAAAAACAATACAGTAAGATAATCAAATAGTTTCACAAATGTTCAGTGTGCATTTCATAGTAACCACATAAAGAGAAGCTAACATTTCATAACAAAATCCTCTGGACATCCAGAATTGTTTATGCGCTTTTATTTGTCAAAATGACTCGTCATCACATAGCATCCCATCTATCTCCTCGTCCCAACTGTGATAATGATACGGTACAGGATTACAAAACATCCTTTCATCATATACAACATCCTCTAAGAATAGCCCTTGAGCAGGCGCACTAACCATACCCAAATGATGAAAGTTATCTGGATTCGGATTATCCAGCAGCCACAACAAACGTTCTCGTGAAATATGTCCGTATGCATGGTCAACAATTGTCCTTACCATACGCCTTATCTGCAAGCCAGACACACGCTCTCTCAACAAGTACGTTAATCCATAATTATACGCAGTGCGTAATCTTTTGAGAATAGTTTGAAAAAGAAAAAGAAAAAGAGCGGATAGATTCACATCTTTCAGTTCTCGATTCTTTCATAATTATTTTTAAATCCTAAATATAAACTCAACTGTAAATTTTCAAAAGCTGCAACTATATACTCTTTTTCTTCTTCATTCCCCCTTACACCACCCAATTATGATATAATCCCAGAAGTTAATCGTTTCTGAGGTTGAGTGCTTTCATTTTTTCTTTATAATAAAAAAATACTGCTATAGAAGCTACCTGTGACCTGAGAAATGATCTAGAGATTACACTAATATCGATTAAACTGAAACCACTCGCGTTTAAGATTCGGCTACATCCTGAAAATACAAAATATCAGGGTAGTAGCTGATGTCAAAATCAGATTATACTTGACTAAAGTAGTATTACTTACACCAATGTATCCATCTTATATCTTGTTGAAAAGATCAGTATTAAGCCTAAGAATTTCAGGATGAAAAATGCTGCTACATTAGCAAACTGGCTGCTACATGAATGGTACAAATATTAACCACTAGCATAAACGATTCAACGGTTCACGGTTGAGAAGAAGTTTTCTATACGTACCACCAGATATGCCTATGTGTAAAATATGTCTCAACGTTGGGATCCGCTCAACAGTCCTTAAGCGATCACGTAGTGGATATTTCATGAATGAAGCCATATTGTGCGTACCATAAAATGAAATCTTATTAAGCACTGTTATATGCAGAGTTTTATAAAAGAAATTCATTAAAGAATGAAGTCACCGATGAACAAAGATTACTTTGAATAATAAACAAGCATCTACAGCTTTCTGAATATCAAAGCCATTCGGTAAAAACCACATGTACGGCTTCTCAGCAAATTGCCATGTGGAGGGATGCTCAATATATTTTAGCCATTCGTTTTCATTATCTGCCACGGCTAATCGATATTTGTATTTTCTATGCAGGAACAAATCAGAATAAATGATTAATTATTTACGTAAAATGTGCTGAATTAATTTCAAAAACCACCTGTAAGATACATTTCTTCTCGAACAGAAACCCTTCGAAACATTATGGAAGTCAAGAACCCGTATGGATTTGCCTGTGCATTCATCAGCTCTCTGATTCCAGTCATGCAGCAACTTACTTTTTGCTCTGTCGGCATTCATAATAGGAATTTGTACAATGAAAGCATTTCGTAAAGCATGCACACCGGCATCAGTTCTAAATCATGGAATCTGGATTTTTAAATCATCTCAAATGAGGAACGAATGGATAAAATGACTGGCAAACCTGCTTGATTGTGACATTTTTAACTGTTCTCCCACATCCGGAAAACTTTCTTTCACAAGTGCTTTAAGAAACCCAAGCACGCCGAATCTGGCATTCCCATCAGCAATAGATATAAATCGTGCGCCATCATATGATGTCCAAAGTAGATAACGGCATACCTCAGCCCTGGACATCCTTTTTAATATTCCGTCCCTATTCACAATCAAAACTAAGACAAATAAGTCAGAAATATAGTCTTCCTCTCTAAAACAGCGATTCCTATTACATATTTTTAGAATCTGCAAACTTTTTTTTCACCGTGCACAGGATAACGATATGCACTCTAATTTCGATATACATCAATGTTCGACAAGATGATTAGTTACACTATAATCAAGTACGTTGTAAATAAAACAAAATTTACTTTTAAGATTCACTAATATTAAAACAACAGTCAGCAATAATCACAAATAACAAAATATTAACGTTCAAACAACAAACATTAAAATCTCCATCATCAGATACAACAAATGTAAGTGAGAGACAACAACCAGAGTAGTATTTAAGATGAACAATAATTATGCACCAGGAATCGAGTGGTGAGGAGACATAAAAATAATAACCAGTATGAATATGTCATATCTATTGTTGCCTCAAGGAATTACCAAGAAACAAAAATAACAATGCTTATGTGGTCCAAACGAAAAAATTCATGTTTCAATACAAAGCAAGAATCTGTTTCATAAGATGGAGATTAGCCGTGCATAGTAAAGTGAAAAAATCATATCAGTCCAAAATTTACAGAAATAGAGAATGTATCTTAAAAATAAAACTTTTCCCTGCTTCAATGATTGAGACAAGATACCGCACTGTCCTTTAGTACAAACGTTTATCATAACTGAAAACGAAATAAATTAATCTGAAGCAGAATACTCTGATTATAAAATGTTTTTAATACCAAGTTTTTCATATTATACAACTTTGAAATAAAAATTAAAGTTAAATTTATAAATCTCACGAATGTAATGAATGCACGCCTCCTTCCACTTGCGCATTGTTAGATCGAAGCTCGAATCTGATTTCACCGCGGACAACACCCACCCTGAAAATGCCATAATTTATTAATATGCGCAGCAGTAGTTTTGGTAATGCAACTACAAAAAGAAGCTAAAAAATTTTAAAAAGCGAAAAAGCACCGTAATTCTTCTAAATCTCTGACACCGATATCTTGAAAACCATGCTGAATTCCTCGCACTAAATATGGAACAAATTTATGTACGCTTCCCCTATCTCTCATTGTTGCTGATACTCCTTGTGCAACTTTGATTGCATCAGATTCGCTGAAAAAACTACTGATAGTAAGCAAAATTGAATTTTTGTCATGTACAAAGTCTTCCTTAAGTTAACTTGAGGATGGAAACGATGTAGAATAACAAAAAAAAACCTATTAAAATATCTATCCTGGCTACTGATATTCGCTTTCATAGCATCTATAGAACCCATTCCACGATATTTTTTTAGCCGTACACCACTCGGACCCCAAAAATACTCTCCGGGTGCTTCTGTTGTACCTGCTAAAAGACCACCCATCATGACTGTCGATGCTCCCAAAGCCAAAGCCTAAACTATTTGCATCAAGACTTCAGCAGTCAGAAAAATTGCTTGAAACACGTTTCAATAGTTTTAAAAAAATTCACCTTCGTGATATAACCAACATCTCTTATTCCACCGTCAGCAATGACTGGAATACCATGTAGTCGTGCATATTTTGCAACTCGATAAACAGCAGTACCTTGAGCTCGTCCAACAGCAGTAACTGAAATAAATTGCATCTATAAAACCTATAAAAGTTGGAGTTGAAAAAATTTGAAGTCACTACAGTATAACCCTTACATAAACATATTAATAGATAGGCTAATAAATATTATAAATAAATAAGTGTTAAAGAATGAATAAATTAGTATAAAAATATATGATCCGATGCTTCAATATTAGAAAAAACAAATACGTACCTTCCTGCGTGATGCATATAGAGCCACTTCCCATACCCACACGAACTGCGTCTGCTCCGGCTGCTATCAAAATCGCAGCTTGTTTTTTCGTCACGACTAAAACAAGGAAATGATCAAACGAAAAATTTTACAGCATTAGTACATACACATCATTACATCTCTTTTTCTACATTTCGAAGATGCTTCACCATAACTACTGAGTGTTTAGGAACTAATGACAACCTTCTGATCACCCGAAAAATTATGTATTAAGTTTTTAGTTCAGAGCGAGCAAAAAATTGAAGTCACCAGTAATTATGCGAACTTTTGTTATATTAAAGAATATATATTCTGCAAATTCCTACCATTGCCCGCAATTATTTGTGGTCTCTTTGGGTATTTTTTCTTTATCCAGTGTAAAAGATTTACTTGATATATGCTCGCACCTTGAGAAGAGTCCTAGAATTACCAAAGCATTAATAATCTGCAATGAATTATGCATGGCAAGCAGCTAACTGGAAGTAGGCAAAAATGTTTAGGTTATATAAACATGTGTTGCCAACTGCTCATGATAAATTTGGTTAAAAAAGTCAGTCGATATAAGTTTCACAGCACTCTACTTTTAAAGTGTAAAGGCAATAAATTTTGAGGAAAAGTATTAAGCTAAAAAATGACTGGTACCAAAATAGAATATAGAAGAAACGTACAATAACAAGGACGTCAGCACCAGCCTCAGCCAACTTCTTCACTGCTTCTTTAGCAGATTCACGAGTATTTATAGCTGCACCAACTCTCAACTGACCTTTTGAATCATAGGAACTCCATGGGAAATCCCGAGCTTTTTTCAAATCACTTCGAGCTATCAAAGATACCAATTCATTATTGCTGTTAACAATGGGTAGTTTTCCTGAAATAACAGACATTAAATCAATATTTATTGGATCCACAATTAAAAATAATATGAAAATAATTGCACTCATACTGATATTTTAGTATGCTTTGACACAATTATCCATGAAAAACTATTAAATATTGAGGGAAAAATAAGTTGAATCCAAAAAAAGATGGACTGATACCCTTTTTCTCAGTTTCTAAAATTTTGTATGCATGTTCTAGAGTTAGATCTTCGGTCCCTGTTATAAGAGATTCTAAAGGAACCATCACATCTGATATTTTCGTGCAAGAATATTTGCTTTCATCAATCAAGTCAATGTCTCGCGAGGTGACCAATCCTAAGAAAAATTGAACTTTCTGGCAGAAAACATAAAAAGTATATACAAAGAGTGATAAATGTTTTTGACTTTAGATAATAAAATAAAAGCAAAAGTTGACTTTCGTAGTAACAAACCTAGAAGTTTGCCCCCAACAGCCCCTGTAGACGTCACTGGTGTTCCTGTAAAACCGTACTTCTTCTTTATTTGCAGTAAATCTAGTACTGAATCAGTCTTCTTGATGCAATGTGGATGCGAAATAAACCCCTGTTTGTAGCGCTGCAAAATTCATCAAAAAGACCAATATGATTCCTGACTTATATTTTCATTTCTTTTATAGATTATAGAACTACTAGTTTGTTCTGCGATAAAACACAAATTTGATCCATTGAATAATAACAAATTACCAAATACAACTAAATCAACTTAATTTTCTGACTGAACACAACAAATCTTATACATAAAATAGATCTATCGAAAGCATGGAAAATATAAAAGTGATTCAACAATACAATTAATACGAGTTAGACAAAATCTTACTTTTACTTTGACAACTTCTTTAATTTGATCATCAAGTGAAGCATAGTTCGCATGAATGATACCAATACCACCATGTAGCTAAAAAAAATTATGTTATTTACAGAAATATAAAAGCAAGAAATTTACTCAATAAAATACTTACAAACTGGACTAGACTTACCAAGCATGTGTATAGAAAAATATAAAGCTGAATAAATTACATACCGCCATAGAAATTGCCATTTCACTTTCAGTAACTGTATCCATTGGAGATGAAACCAGTGGTATTTTCAGTGTAATATCTCGAGTCAATTTTGTGCTCAAATCAACAGAAAAAACGTCGAAGTTAATAAAACCCGGCAATATATTGAAATCGCTGAAAACTGAACTGCATGAAAGAGGGGCAATCAATTTTTTAAGATTTGTTTTAAGTTTATCATTTTTTAATCTGTAATGCAATTACTTACAATATATAACTTATTACGATAACAATAATAATTTTTAATAAAAACAAACTTATATGTCAATCCCATTTGGCTACTCATAAGTTCATCAATTGTTTGACCATCATCATCTAACTCTCTTACTGTTTCCCCGCTTTCATCCATGTTTTCAAGCGCTTGCAAACAATTTGTAAGTCCTCTAAAACTATATCTTAGTTTCAGCAAAGCGCATCCTAAACTATATAAAAATTTGTAAATATTATTTTCCACTACACATCCCAACAAAACGAAAGCTAACTGACTTGATAGCGAAGTAAGCTTAAAATCATGTTGCATTTACAATTTATAGACACAAGCATTATGGAAAATTATATCTATTTACATCAAAAGCTTCATTTTGTTAATACTTCAGTACATATGTCAATAAGGACACACATTTGGGTATTTATGCTTAACCGCAATATCAAGCTTGATATACTCAAACAACTGATATTGAAATGAATAGCTTAATTCAATCTTGGTGGACCTAATGTTAATGAATGCCAGCAATTAAGCTACTTCAAAAGCAATCCTACCCGTAACTTGACCTTTAGCCTTTGTTATATAAATAAAACTAATAACAAATTTTGCGCCAGCATTCATTCTAACTAATGAATGTCGGTTATTTCAAGGTTGACCGATGCAAAACTACTTGCATTAAGTTCTACCGAGCGACAAAACTTCTTACTGGATTTTAAATCCTTACTTGCTGAAGTGTATCATGCACAGCGTAGTTTTATAACTAGATTTAGCACATTTCAGATGAAGTCAGTGAAAGTGTGATTGCAACAGTTATACGCATGAAAATGTATGTAAATAAAAGGTCAAAAAAGGGCAAAATTTTGGAGTAAGAAATGAAATTTATGAACAAGACACTGTGAAATGAATCACTTCTTAGAAGACAAGTACTGCTTATTTTAATTCTTTGTACCATAATATTAACTAATGGTCGTTTGTAATTGCTTACCTTGATGGTTCTTATACTAATCATAGGACACATACTTTTCCTTACATTCATAAATTTGGCATTGTCTACAAATAATACCGTAATTGAATGTGCACTACCTCATTAAGAATAAAATAGTCTTTATAGCTGATACCTAAAATTTCAAAGACTATGTGAGTAACTGGATGGAACTGATAGAATTAACTGCTTTCTTATTCACTTGTTTTTGTAAAAACTTCTATGTTATCAGTTTTTTGACTATCGATTAGTTAGTATTTTTTAAAATCTGCTAAGAATTTTACAAAATTCTGTCCTGTAGTCCAAGAACTGAAGTCAGACGATTATTTCATGCTTCATAGAAGTCTGAGAATACTCTATTACAAATAAAAATTTACAATAAACAAATAAATATTTTTTAATTTTATAAAAGCATAAATAAACTTCAGAAACTGCTATCACATGCCAGAAACGTTCATAATGCTGTAATGTTAACCAATCAGTGCAAGAAATTAGTGATAAGCGTAGTAGAGTAAGTGATGTTTGTTATAATGATGATCACGATGTTTATCTTCTAGCAAGCAGTTGCATCCAAAAGATTAAAGCAAAGATATTCAAAACATGCACAAATCTTTGAGCATTGATGTTTAAATGTAGAAAATAATCTCGTGTAAGTACTTTTGTAGATTTAACCCCTAGCAATGTAATGCCTGAAAGTATTGCCATGATCTGGAGTGTTACTTGGATGTCTTGATCAACAGAATGAGAAAATTCAATAAATGATGCGTGGTAGTGACAATTATTCACAGCTAAGAACTGAAATGAAAAGCAGATAAATCGTAAACGAATGAAACTTCAAAAGACGTAGCTTGGAAGCTTGCAAAGTATGCGAAAATTACTATTTACTGCTGGTCGTGACTTTAACCGATATTACGAACTGCTAGCAAAAAAGGACTCCTGCTATCATATTTCACAGTTTCTAGTCGTTTCCTTCCGATTCATTTGATTGTTAGTAAACATTAGAGAAGCACATATGTGAGGTTCCATGCTTCAGATCCACCCTTTTGCTTTACATCTTATTTTAGAGTTGAAATTGTAATAAGTATTCGAGCATAAATTATTCATGCAGTCTATACAGTTGCTTTTACAGCAGTCTTGCAAAGTTAGTTGCCACTTTATTGACGCTTTGACGCACAATACTCTCCACATAAATAATACATGAGGAAGTTATAATTGTCTCAGATTTTCGCAAAGTATCGCGCCCACCTAACTTTTTTGTTGCAAAGAAAAGATAGTAAGCATTATAACTACTTCAATCCCATATCGAACAGCAAAATACACAAGTACCTTTGAGAAGTCATCTCCAGTTCACTCTCTCTTCATTCTATCAACTACAGAAAAAAGTTTTCATGGATTGAGCAAACTAGTCAGAAGCTACAAAATGGATTTACTGATGTTATTTCTGGAAATTTGTGATGAAATCTGGCCGTACATCATCGATCACTGACAAATAAGTTTTGTTTTGCACTTCAAAAGATAACAAGACTTACCAAAAAATCGTTACCCTAACTATACATAAGAACGTTCCACATCTGTTAAAAAGTGTTAAAAAGCAAAAAGAAATATCTGGAAGGAAATAACAGACCATGTCAACTATATCCTTGTGCGTAAGCCAAACTTATTCATACTCACTAAATAATATACAGTAGATGAGAATGTCCGTGTAAGATGCTAAGAAAATGATACAACTTGACATGATACAACTTGACTTCTTTCGCAAAAAATTTACTTATAAATGAGTACAGTAATATTGGAAGATTACAAGGACAATACAACTGAAGATATGTCATCTCTATAATTTGCAACTGTATTATTTGAAATTACCGAACTAAACAGAAAACAAGGAATAATGAACAATTTTTTAGATGCATCCTTTCTTAAAGTTATAAATATTTTCGACAGCAAAGAAAATTAAACATGCAAGAAGCAGTATATAAATAACAAAAAAGATATCACTTTTTTCTGAATCACATATTAACAAAGAATCTACCCATTCCCGATGAAACTAACGAATCAAATAGTATATGATCAAGAACACAAAAAGCGCAAACAGAATTAGATGACACGTCAAATTTTTCCCACCAGCTTTTGATACTTGCCTCAATTTATGCATCGTCGATCCAAGGAAACCTTTCGACGCATCGAAATCACTTTCCATTTCACCTAACAAACGATTTTGCTCTCGTACATCATCTCCAATAGCAATAGTAATTTTCTTTAAAGTTGCAACTTTTCCGGACAAATGCTCAACTAACTCATCATTCTCACGCTCCATAAATATTCCACCATTGTTTTCATACCCCAAATTTAGACCATTGCCACTGCTTCCTCGGTATGTCATGCCAGTATATCATCAAGCGCGTAGTAATTCCAATATATATCAGCAATGTCTGAAAGAATCAAAATTAATGCACTAGGCTTTCGCTATTACATTTAAAAGAATATTTCATTCAAACATAATGGCAGAGAATTGAGTGTTGAGTAATTAGACCAATAATTCTTGCGAGAATTCACAATACACAAACTACATAATCTCCCAGCACTATTCCCGAACAAAACTTTACAGCAAGCTAATTTATATTAGTATCGTTTTAGTAATCATTCAGCTCCTAATGCACTACACTCCTTCAAGTCCACAACTCAGGAAAAATCTAGTGACACTCACGATTATTCATAACAAGATTTCTTTCCATGAAGAAACCTGGGAACCATATAAGGAGAGCTTGTAAAACAAACAGTCAAAGAACAGAACAAATATGGATTCTAGGACCTATGTTTATTCCACACAAAATCCAAAACACAGTAACAAAGAATCAATATTCCTAGAATGAAATTTTCTGTTCCAGAGATAAAATAACCAAAACTCCCCACCAACACCCTGATATAGTTTCATCTTTTCAATTCATCCAGCTAAAGCAACGGTATTTTTGAGATTTCTCAAAAACAGGTTGTAACTGAAGTGCATTCATGACGGAACATAAAAACTGTCAAATACTTCAATAAACTCCAACAGAAAAGCGTAAATGGGATTAAGTACGATAATAACTGTGATAATTTAATCAAACATATGTTTAAATAACAAAAAAAAAGACTTAACAACATTATGTTGATTACGAACTTCTTGCATCTTCAAGAACTTATCATTTTCAAAACAAAATAATTAAATACTGTCTGTTTTCTGCTTCCAGAACATCAATTTTTAAATGAAACTATTCCTCAACTTCGCTCAGTTAAAAAAATTGAAATAAATCTTGGGCCACACCCGATAATACTTGACTCCGTCCTCAAAATGTATATTCAATAATTTATCTATAGAGCATAAATCACGGAATCCATTTTTTCTTTCGCTTCATTGAGCTTCTGTGTAAAGGATTTTTCAGCATCAGCGAAAGCAACTTTCGAAAGTTGTCCCTTCACAAAGCGTTCTGCCTTAAATGAAAAATATAATAACACGAATCTTCATTAATTTGTTATAAAATATTTCAACAATTACTAAAGAACGAGCGAGACAGTTACAAGTATCGAAACATAAAAACATATCCTTCGGACAATCTAACATTTTGGTTCTTTATATTAGCAAAAGCAAGTAAGCAGGGCATCGTGTTTTTAAATGTTAAATTCGTAACATAATCAAAATAGAAAAATTTATGAACACTTTCGTGGATATTTCTAAAAAAAACCTGTGCGCGATTTGTTTAATTATTCACGATGAAAAAATCACAGATGATAATATAGCTCTAAATAATGAAAACACGATGTACCATGAAGTTTAGTATAATTTCTTTATTTTTGCTCATACTTCCTAATGACAGAATAGAACCACTTGAGGCTAACTAAATTTCAAAATTTTACTTGTCCCACATAAATACTTATATTGTCCATAACCAATCTGTGCGTTTTATTGACTTCGTTGAGCTGAAAAATATGTGCAAATATTAATAAGTGACTTGTATTTTCAGCCAATAAATTTTGAATTCTAATAAGTTTTCTTCATACGCAGTATGCCCTTAATGAGGAGAGTTTTAATACAAGATAAATTTGAATGAAAGAAATCAAACCAAATTCTAGTTCTAAGCGCACCTATTTGGTATTACTTTATTCTTATTAGACATTACTTCTAGGAAGATGGAATGAATACTGACCTTATCAGAAATGTCAGAATTTGTAGATTTTAATTCATTCTGTAAGTCATTGATAGCTTGTCCCACAATCTTTAGGTCGTTCTCTGCCTTCTTCCTTACTGTTGTAAACATAGCGATATCCTTTAATTACACAAACTTAAACTTAATTTTCGAAAAAAAAACATCACAACAATCACTTTTTAATCAGCCCAATTCGGTAATAAAAACTACGAACAATCTCAAGAACCACATCCTTCTTTGACTGAGATATGATGAAGTAGAGAGAACCACACCTTATTATTTTTAAATTTATGAATGGCATCCGAAAACAAATCATATATTTTCAATCGATCAGCATGAAGATCCGTTAGCTGTTCTACTTGTCCTTGAGCTTGCAGACGACTTTCCGTTGCAACATCCTGTCAAATACACATTAAAAATTTTAGAACACTGGTATTTCACTTTCTAAAAAAATAAAACACGTGCAACTTGACTAGAAAAAATTACTCTATTTTATTTATCGATTTTATTACCTATCTCCTAGTGTTTCATAGAACACGCTATCGTTAATAGTGACGAAAATAGCAGAAAATTAAATTTTAAATTTGTTGTTAAAGAAAGTTCTGCTTCAAATTTCTAAATTGAAGAAAATTACTAAATGACTGAGGGTTTAATACAGGTTAAATTAGACTGGCTCAACTTTAAACAGATTAGTTTACCGGTGAAATAGTGAAATCCAACCGAACATAAACAATAACCACGAAGAACAATACGGCAAAAGCGGCACAAGCTAAGAATGGTTCTCTCCAAAGCTGCATTCGATTAAATTCGTAATGCAACTAGAAAAAATGTAATATTTATAAATTTATAAGGCAAAACAAACATGCAAGAGATTAGTTTAAATATTTAAATAAAGTGGTAATACTTTGGCAATATGATAAGCAGTGACAAAATCAATCCTAACTTTTTACAAAACAACACAAGTTTTATGTAAGAAAGCGTACGGTAAACATTTGTATGTGAGCATCGACGAGGTTATTTTTTTCTACTGTTATGACAGGACGCCCAGTAGTGTCCAAATACGTAAAGTGAAGTTCATCTGGGTGCCTTTTCATCGGATAAGGCGTTGTCAATTTGATATTTCTGGAAACTACATTCATGAATGCTTGAAAAGTTTTATTAACAATAACTAACTTGTACTTATATTAAACAAATATTATTACCTGCTCCCTTCTGGTAAAACAATTTTTAATTTCATGTTTTCAATAACGGCGTCATCAAAAAGGTGATCAATGATTCGCATCTTTAATGTGAATTTATTTCCAGATGAATAAAGGTACTGATAAGCTGGGACATTGTAACCGAGAACATAGTCTGTTTTCCATCCTCCAAATAAAGGAAAACGAGGCTGTATGATCAATTCAACAGCATCTGTCATCTTTCTTACAGTTGAAGTTGAAATATTCCCGATTTCATCACGATAATAAATGTCTTTAGCTGAAGCTGGTAACAAAGTCTGAAATGGTATAATACAACGAAATAGCTTCTTACAAACAATACAAAAAAGAACTGTTTAATGTCATAAAAATTTATACTTTATATTGAGTCACCACTGGTCTTCTATTACCTCTTCGATCCATCTGGAAATCAAGTCGAGAGAATGAACCCTAAAAATAGTATGTGTTTTTTTTTTTGAATTAAAGCCACAAATGTTGTGGACAATTGTGTATAGTAAGAGATATGACCACATATACCTTAAGCTGTGCTCCTTTATGAACGACACTGATCATTTCTTCAATAGCAATATTCCCCCAATGCGAAACTTCAATCAATCTCACGATTTCTGTTGCTATGACGAAAGGAGAATTGTTTTCAAAATGAACAACAAAATCAACCTAAAATAAATTTAAGGACTCACTGAAGCAATTTCAAACTATGACTCGAAGTTCCTTCCACAAATAAATTTAATAAGCTGCGAAAACAAGATAAATACATGAGAATAAAAACTCACAGTTGTGAAAGGTTTTTGATCCAGATATGGACCATATGTGATTCTGTTGCCATCAACTGATGTAGGAGATACCATGGTATGAGATTCGAGTTTTCCATTCGCCAGAATTATTATAGTTTTTTCTTTTTTAACTGGATAAATACTTGGAATGTGCGCATTTCCCTTATATATAACAAATCTGAAAGACTCAAAAATTAACATCAACATGACAAATGGTAATTGCTAATTAGTTGAATTTTAGCTCACAGTCACATTCTTGATCATGAATTGTACAAAGCATTACTTTATCAAGATTTTCAGAAGAAAAACAGAAGATTTTAAAGCTTAACGCACATTTACAAATAAAACTATGTTACTGCACCAAATTCCAGATCTCATATCAAAATATATTTTACATACAAAACTGACTATCCTGAATACGATAAATCGAACAATCTAACAAACCTTGACCTTAAAATGCAAGATTTAACAATCTCTATGTGAATAATATCGCGTAAAATTTTAAACGGATGAAAACTTACTGCGATTCCGCTTGAGTAATATGTGTTGGATAAGGTTCTAAAAATTCTGTAAGTTGATATTCTACAGTAACAAAAGCTTTATTGTTCGATGGAATAATATTCAGCAGTTCTACCTAAAAGACGATTTTTCAAGAATTTTTGCGATATAATTCTCTAGCAACACAGTAAAAGGCAAATGATTTATCCGAAATTTGAAACAAACCTTATAGGCTACAAATCCTTGTTTTAAATCGGATTTCGAAAGCTCAATTTTCGTTACTCTCAATTTCGCATTTTTATCAGAATCAGTAGCAGAAATAAATGCAAGCCGAGAGTACTCTATTTCATGAACTAGGTGTATAAAGCTGTTGATTTCTTTTCCACCATTATTCTGTACTTCATATTTGACAGCAATTTTCACTATCTTAAAATAATGTCCAGTCATTTTCAGAAATCCCACAAATGGTGATAGAAAAGATTAAGCTGGATTTTCTACAAAACCTTTGTTTGCAAAAACTTTTCTTTTTTCTTTTTGATACATTACATAATAATATTAAATGTATTTAATGAATTAAGAATTTCATCCCATGTGAAACAAGTTCAATATAATTGTAATAAGCAGTAGTAGTATTTAAATAAGTGCAAGAAACAAAGCTCAATTAAATTGACAAAATTTCCAACCTGAGTTGATATATCAATCACTCGCTCAGCAGATAATACGATATCATCAGATGAAAATTCAGAACCTTCAGCCAAATATAAACAAACCAACAGCGAGAGTAGGTACCTCCGTCCCATTGCGATATTCCTGACCGAGTATTTCTCGCAGTTTGCTACTAAACTATGCTAATATCTAATAATTATTAATCGTTTTCATTGTAGCAAACGTATTACTCAACGAAAACGTAGAACGAAACAAAGAATTAATAATAAGTGATGTCCATAATGATAGTACAATGCGCTCAAAACCTTGATGTCATTCTTTTTTCTGTTTTTTATAGCATCTAATATTGCTGATTCAATAAGTAACAATAAAATTTAACGCAGCCAAGTCTTAATAAACAAATGAGTAACAATAAAATTTCACGCAGCCAAGTTTTAATAAATGATGCGTCTAAATTGACGCAATAAAGAGTATGAATTGTTGAAATTAGCAAATTCTTGAATTCGTAGCCGTCCTTACTGCATTTTTTTTATGAAAATTACTTCTTTATTACAGCAAAAATGCAATGAAAAGCAGTAAAAAAAAGGTAAAACGCATGAAATGAAAGCACAAAATTGATGCTACTAATGCATACATTCAACTATAAATAGCACGAATAACAACACATCGAAAACTATATATTAACCAGAAATTACGATAAAATGAAACACCAACTTCTGCTAATTCTAATTCTAGAATTAAACATCCAGACTATAAAAGTAAGCCTTCCACGTATATGATGAACGTTGCATCAATGAGAAGTTGACGTTGCATTATATAAAAATGTAAGGGTATCGTTATTATGAAGAGAATTTGAGAAGTGCTAGTGTCGCAAAAAACAGTGCGAGTTCATATGTCTTCCAATTATGTACATACATATCCAAATTTCTGTACAGGCAGGAGGTGTTATGTCAGACTATCCATATTGCAATTAACAATTTCTGTAGTAAAGATGCATTCAAGACAGATGCTTCTGACAAGAGGATATACGAAGCAATCATTGCACAATATGAACATTGAATAAAATTGTGGCTAAGAATCTGTATTTAAACGTGTCAATTGCAAATGATATTATCTTAATTTGCATTTTGCAGTTGATGATTGTAATGAAGTTACTGACATTAATTCATCAGAAATTAAGTCAAATTGCACTTTGCCATCTGTCTTTTTTCTGTTAGAAAGATTTTCTTGATAATGCGAAGTCAGTTAGTCGTTTTGTTATGGATTTGTGAGTTACGATATTAGATATTGTTTTTTTGGTGTAAATATGGATATGAATAAATTAGATGCATAATTTTAAAGCGCAACAAGTTTTGATACGAAATTTACAATAGCCACTTCTGAATATTAGCCAGATTTCTAAACTGTCTTCAGTCATCAACATTTTCATACATTTAATTAGTTCAAATGCTTGATCATAAAATGAAGCATGCTTAATTTTTGTTCCAAAAAAAAGAAAAAATGATTGCATAAGTCGGATATACAGTAGTGATTTTTTGTACAATTTGAATTTTTTGATTCTAGTGTATTTACTCATTGTTGCACGAAAATAAGCAATTTTTCTTCTCAACAATTACTTTTATTTCTGAATTTTCAAAAAAAGTAATTGTCAAAATAAGTAAAAGTGAAAATCTTGAATGCACTTGGCAACTGCGTCCTTGAAATAATCTTTTTTTAATTACATTATTTAAGTCCATTAAGTAATATAATACAGTATTGTATTTCATAGCAGTGATTAATATTTTGTACACAAATTTTTTATAAATAGCAAGTAATATTTTAATGATTTTAATACATAAAATGTTTGTGCAAATATTAGTTTTTAAGTAAAATTCTAAAGACTGGCTATGAAATATTAATTATAAATTATTTTTGTATATTTATTTTAGGTAATTTTCTTTAAGCATTGCTGATGACTACTTGAACTTTTCCTCTCAATATTTTTTGCAAAAACCAGATGATAACAATTATGGAAAAAATGTGAAAGTCAAAATTGCAATACTATTTTAACAAGTTTCTTAAAGAAAAAAAAAAGAGGAGATTTATCACTGGTTATCTTTTACAATTTTTAATTAAAGAATAAGTAGAAAGATGTAAAATGAATAAGAAAAAACGAGTTTCCCATGAAATGATTCAAATTACTTTTCAAGTAATTAATGCTTTTCATTATATATTTTCAAGATTTCAGCAAAATAAAGATGACAAGAAAGTTATATATTAAATTACATGCCATCATAACTTTGCTATATTGCAAAATTAAATTTCATATAATATTTGTTGATTTTATTCTTACATATTTTCTAGAAAAAAGATATTTCGCACTAAATTCTCACTTATCACTTTAATACTTTTTTTTTTCTCCACAAATGATTCCAATTTTTTGTAGATATTAAGCAATGTTTTGTGATTTTATTTGATCTTACTGTTGAAACAAACTTTTATTAATTATTATACGTTTTTATTTTACAAAAGTTTCTTTAGAGTAAAACTAAAATCTTATCATATTAGCCATGATTATTTTGATTTATTATTTATAGTCATTTTAAAATTTTTCAAAATTTTGCCAAAAATAAGAAATGCTAATTGATAAGTATGGAGTAATTTAACAATCTACAATGAAATAAGCTTAATCTTAATACCGTATAATTGACTGACTTCAATATGTATTATACAAATAGATTACAAAATTTCTTTAATATTTATCATAAAGTTGATTTAAAAATGTCATCCTCTGTGTATGATGCAAAGCTATTTTTATAATGCAATGGAATTTGCAGCAAAAATTAGTTTAATTTTAAAAACTAGAACAAAAATGCAATTAAAATTTAAGACGTCATCAATGTGAAAAAAGTAAGCATTTGATGAGTAACTGAATAAATTGGTTATATTTTAAAAGAAGTATGCGTAAGATGAATAAAAGTGATGAAAAAATTGTTTACTCATAGAAGTGGATGAAAGCGCTTAATAGCCGGTTACTGCTGATTACATTCCTTATCATTATCGTTATTATCATGCTTATGTATATGCAAGCATAGCATACAAATATAATATTAAATTTAGTAATTATATTTGAGTGAGTACTAATCACTTTCATTGGCAATGGGAGGAGATTTGCAACTATTTCTTTCCTTTATAAACTTTGAAAAATTGAAATTATCCGTGAATTATCATTACCTGATCAGTCGATGTGATCATAATCAGTCTTTTCCAGCCCATTTTTTCATTTTTATCTCCTACAATTTTAATTTCTGATACTATACTTTTATTAGTAGTAAATGTTTATAGTTTTAGCACCACACTGTATAACTTCCAAATAATTGTAGCACATAAATTCAGACAAAATTTTACCAAAGTAAAATTAAACTTTTTCATTTATTTTTTGATCATTTCAAAAATGAAATATTTTAATTAATGATCAACTTTGACTTTGCTTAGTAGTTATTTTTCATGTCAAATATTAAAGTTTGTATTTTGTATTTTGAATATAAATGCAAATCTGCATTTTAAATACTTTTACTTTTTTTTTCACTTGATATTTTATAGAATTTGACTAATTAAATTTACTTATTCTGTTGATAAAAAGCAATGAATAGTGGTTTATTGAATACTATTCTTCTGTACATAAGTATTGATGTGAGCAAAGCGTGTGTATCATCTGGAATTTGCACTGGTGGGTACGGATGTGAAACAAACGTGGCACCTACGTGTGTTGGTGGATGCGCATTTGGATATACATGTGGACAGTATGGTTGTTACTCAAAAGCACGTGCGAGATCTTCCAAAACTTTTGCCTTTCATCCTCAAACTAATGAACATTTTTATGATACAAAGGTGTATTTAAATTATAAAATTATAATAAACTAGAACTCAGTTTAGTCATGAGTAACTGAATTGATTATGGAAGTTAATTCAAAATTGGATAATCATTATAATGATCTCAGGAATAAGTGCAGGATGTTATTTCATTTATAATTATAAATAGCAATTAATAATACAAACCCGTTTATCCAAAGTATTCATTTTTGATTAGGATCTACTCATAATATGTCTCATCTCTAGGTAATTAGAAACTTTTATAAACTTGATGGTACTTTTTTTCCAGAAAATAACTTACTTTACGATGATATTTATCACAAATATATATCACATACTTTTTGTGAATTACAGTCAATGAAAACGATAAGTTATAATAGTTGTTTTATTGTTAGAAGTTAACAAAGCAATAATTTTAAGCAGTAGTAATTCGTAGATTGAAATGAATATTTTTTAGCAAGAAGGATTAACATCTGAGCAATTAGCTGATGAAATGTTCCATGATTGTTGTCTTGATCAACATCTTCCAGATAGTTGCTTACAGAAATGCTCATTTAAAACTTATACAAAGAATAATTTGCAGGTTATAAATTGAACTTTTGCATACTTAAAGAAGCAATTTTTAACTATTAAATTTCTGCACCTAAAAAAAATTATTGTAAATATAATCTTTAAAAAAAGACATAATTAATTAGTAATAAATTTAAATTTGGTTGTGGAACTGCTAGAAGAATGCATAATTTAGGCAATTTACTTACATTTGGATGATTGTCCATTGAAAGCAATTGCTGCTATAACATACTGTGCAGCTCGTGGAATAGATCATACGCCGTGTTGCATAGAAAATGGAGTTGCGAGAACAATTGCAGGGTCAAAATGTCTTGTACTTTGTGACCAGGTAACAAATTATATTCTTATATATATTTATTTTTTCTTTTTTGATTTTATAAAAAAGCAAGCAATTGAAATTTACAATACAAAAGTGATTACTTTGCAGAGATCGGGAAATGTAACAGAGTTAAACTTGTCTTACTTGCCTTGTTTTGAACGATTCAACGATATTAAAAGTTGCTTTATGGAGTACAGTAATTCCAAATATCAGTCAGTAAATACCGATGCAATGCCTGTTGTACAAAGATTTGGGTCATAACAATTGATAAAATGTATTTTCAGTATTCTTTACACTTTCGTTTTTTTTTTAAATGATATTTAAGAAAAAGTTATCGTTGAATAACATTTCGATTTTCAGTTGATTAACGTAAAAAACTGATCTAGACGTAAGATTTAACTTTTGCGTACTTGAAAATGATGCCAAATCTGAATCAAAGAGTGTAAATTTGCATACTGTTTTAGTACTCATTCATATTCACTGCGCTTATGCATAAAATAGTAATATTTTGATAAAATAATTATAAAACAAAAAAGTTTTTTTTCTAATTTATGAACAAAATATGACAAATTAGCTTAACTGCATGCGATGAATAATTTTGAAATATTTTCTTGGATTGATATTTTATTATGCTTTTAGTTTTGTTACCTTTTTGATTATTGAACACGTTTACAAATATTTCCCTGTTATATAATACACCATAATGCATGATATACTACTATTTGTTCACCTTCCTTAATATTAGCTTATTGTGTTGAAGACAATTAAAAATAAAGCAGAGATCAATCATCTTTATTAAATATTGTTATAAAAATGTTTAAAAAATCAACGAATAAATAGAAAGATGAAAATTTATAACTAGTTAAATTAAATTCATTCTCTACCAAGAGCTAAACCACATACAAATATAAAATTGATTGATCGGATCAAATAATACAAAATGTGTCTTTTTTATTGCGGGTGTATTATTACTTCTATCTAAATAAAATTAAAAAAAAAAGTAAACAATTTCGACCGCTCATTTGCATATTGAATGAAATCACTGACAATAAAAAGTTACTATGATCTAGATTTGATTTTTTTGAACTGAGGAAAGAAGTAAAAAAATTTCGAATGCTAGGTATTTCACTGCATTAGAGTATTAACATTATTTAATATTGGCAATAATTATTAGATTCATGAAAGTTATTAACACAAAATTATTTCTGATAACCAGTAAAGTATCAGTTTTTTTACTAATTTTTTAAATGATTATTTAGCTTCAGTACTAAAATAAAAATAATTATTGGATATCATTTTCAAAATCCTTCACTGCCAATGCTTCAGCTTCATAGATAGAATCATGTTTTGCTAATATTCTTAACAATGGTCGTACACGCATCCACCACTGATCTTTTGGCAAACGATGCTCAAAATCAGTTTCTTTGGCTAATTCTTCTACGGGTGTGAACACTACTCTTCGACCCTTCAATAATTTTTCAAATTTGATCCAATTTAATCAAATATTACTGATCTGTTCAAAGATATAACAAAAAACCAACTCTTAAACCGAGAAGCGTTGCACTATCATCATGAATTGCATTTCGTTCATTAGTTGCTAAATTAACGTATTCTTTAGCTTGAGTAATCATATACTCTAATGCGCGTGCAGCTAATTTTGTTCCCATATTACGATCAAATGGAGTAGGATTACCACCTTGTTGCGCATGTCCAAGCACGTTTATTCTAAATTATAATTCTTGACGTATTTTTAAGATTCTTTGCTTTTAAGAATTAAAGATACTTTTATAAATTATTTGAATAAATGAAAATAAGAAATTAATGGATTAAAATTATTATCATCAAATTAAGTCATATTAAAATGATTTTAACATTACCTTGTAGAAAATATGCCTCGACCCTCTTCAGCAAAAAGTTGATTGACAAATTGTGTTGTATAATTTTTATTAGCCATTTCGCATCGAATAATTAGGTATCTTTGAACGCCAGTGCTCATTTTTCTAGTAATTACCTTCAAGAAAATTGTTAATTATTTATGAACTAATTACTAGTTTAAATTAAATACCAAAAAATTGTTCAGTTCTATTTCTGGTATCGTAAGAAAACAATGCTAATAATAGGCGAATCTCTTGTTAATATTTTGTAAAGATATGTTCACTGTATTTGGTATTATATACTGAAATTATTCTAACCTAAGTATCACTTTCGACTAAGTATACATATAATTTATAATTATTCATTACATTATGTATGCTGAGTAAATTAAAGTTTAATGAATGATAGAAAATTAATTAACTACCTTAACATCTTCAATCATATCATTAACATTGAAACTTTCTTCAAATATATATGCATCATCAGCTCCAGATGCAAGAGCAGATAAAGTTGCCAAGTATCCACAATATCCACCCATTGTTTCGACAATAAATACTCGTTTTTTGGTACCAGTTGCAGACTGCTTAATTTTATCAATCATATCACAAATTTCATTCACTGCTGTATCAGAACCAAGTGAAATTGATGTACCGGGTACGTTATTACTGATTGTACAAGGTATTATACAAAGTGGAATACGAAGTGATGGATATTGCTTACGAGCACGTGCAATTAACAAACATGAATGATATGCCTGAAATATTAAGCACTTTTAATTTAAAATTTGAAATTGAAATTTTTTAAAAACTGATATTTGAAGATTTTTATTTTTTTGATATGACTGCATAATTAATGATAATCCTTTTTTTTCAAGCAACGTATTCATTTTTTTTTTTTTTGAGATAAAACTGATCAAATAGTACCTCGAAACCACCAACAATCAATAATCCATGAATGTTGAATTTTTGTAGTGTTGCTGCCACTTGATCCATATTTTTTTCTGGTAGTTGTTTCTTGGTTCCCAGAAATGATCCACCATGCATAACCCAGTTATTTACATCACCCCATAACATTTCCTAGGTATACAATAAGCGTCAATAACAATATTTTTGCAACTCAATTTCTCAAGTACATATCTAAAACTGAGTTTAATAAGTTTTAAACTTACTTTCAAATCTCCTTTTGCAAGTCCTTCAAATGAGTTTTTTACACCATACACTTTGCAGTGATGATAAATACCCATACGTACAAATGAACGTACAACTGCATTCATTCCTTCAATAACAATCCAGTTTTAGTATAATAATGCTTAAACTTGTCTTCGTTTTAGCTGGCATACAATAAAAAACTTTTTTTTAGTTTCTGAAATTAAGCCACCATTTATTTATCCAAAACTATTGTGTTCTAAAATTAAATAACAACAAACAATGAAAATAAAATATTTTTAGCTCTGATGTAAAATCAAATACCTCCAGCAGGTGCTCCAACATTAATAACAGCAAAGTTATATCTAAGTTGATCAGACGTTTTGTTTTTTTCCGGTTCTAATTTGGTTAAAAGGCGATAAGTTTCCAAGTTTCTCTGAAAACTTCGTCCACGAAGTTTCACAGCTGTATCCCAGTCTTTGTTATCCATCGCTTTTTTCACCTTTAATTTTGATCTTTAAATAAAGTTTCAGACAAGTAAAAAAATAATTATATCTTATCCTAAATTATCACAAATATGAAGAAAAAAGCATTTACAGCTTGAGTACGAAGAACACATTGCATTAGTGGTACTCTGACAATAGCATTGCCATCAATTGATACAACGCAAGGTTCTGATTCTGGCGTCATTTCCATTAAGGCAAGAACGGCTTCAGCACCCATTCGACATCCCAGAAGTCGATCAAATGCCGATGGACTGCCTCCACGTTGTACATGACCAAGCACAGTTACTCGTGTATCATAGTGTAATCGTTCTTTCACTATATCCCGAACCTGCATTTTATTTTTCCTCAAATTATCACCATATTTTATAACGTTAAATTAAAATTGCATCTTAAGTCTAAATAGTCTTATTTGCTATAAAAAATCAGTGTGAATTACCTGATTAGCTGTAATGACTTTGCCTTCTCGATCAACAGCTCCTTCTGCTACGATGATGATATTTAGACGTGATCCTTCATGACGCATCATTTGAAGTTTATGACATAATACTGTTGGCCAATCTACAGGTACTGGCCATTCAGGAATAAAACAAAAGTCTGCTTCGGATGCTAAAGCAGCCACAAGAGCCAAGTAACCACAATGTCGACCCATGACCTCCAAATAATTTCACTGCTACTTTTAAAAACTTGCAGTAACAAGGAATATTGGAAAAAATCTTTGAACAAATATTACTCATATTTATTGGACTGATTTCATTTATTTCTTAATTTTAATACGTTAAATATCACGGTTTTTTATTTCTTTTCTATTTTTGTTTTCTTTCCCAGATGACAAGTTTTAATTGGATTGATTATTAAATTGATTACCGTGATTTTAATAATGAATAACAGGTGTGTTACCTCAATTACAAATGTACGTTGATGACTTTGTGCGGTTGACATTACAGAATCGATAGCATCAATAATTCTTTGAAGCGCGGTATCGGTACCAATTGTCATATCAGTACCACAAAAATCATTATCAATCGAGCCCACAAGACCAACAATCTATACAAAAACCAATTCAAGGTAAGTATAGACGAAAAAGAAGTGTGAAAATTTTTAAGTTTTAGATTTCTGTTTCTACTAACAAGCACTGCGCCTTTATTTTAAAAAATGATTAAAAAAACAGTGGCAAATAAATCGTTATAAAAGATAGTATAGTAATGAAATTGAAAAAACTATCACTTCACTTCAATGTAAGAAAGCAAAAACTAATTAAAAAATTATTAATAATTTTGCATGCAAATTTTTAATGCAAAAAGATATGTGAATGAGATATAGCATATATTATTATATCAATACTTAACATTGATAAATCAAAAAATTAAATCATTTGAACTTGAATATTTTTGCATGTTTCTGCTTTATCCTTGCTAATTCTTTCTGTTTGTACAAGTTCCTGAATTAAACTTGGCCATTCTTGCCGAAATAAATTTGCGCCTGTTAATGAACCATCTCCTATAACAATGAAGAAATTATTTTTATTAAGATACCTCTAGAAGTAATTAATTAATATGACTATAACAATAATAAAATAGTATCTTCAATACAAACCAAACTAACAGTAATAAAATAGTACCTCCAATACAAACTAAATTAGTGATCTCGTGCTTGACTAGATTTTCTGCTGCACGAAGACGGCCTGTTCGTTCTCGAAAATCTTTGCAACGTGCAGATCCAATGATAGTACCTCAAATTCACTTAGAATGCAGAATATTCTCAATTTTATTAAAAAAATAAATAAATAAATAAAAAACATATTAAAACAAACGAAAAAATATGTAATTTTTGAAGCGTTTACATAACTTTTTGAAAAATGACAAACCTCCTTGTTGAATAATGTTTGAAACACAATCCCAATCAGCTTCTTTAATATATTCACAACCATCAACCATACCTTGATAACCTTCATAGATTAAATATACTCGACACCCAAGATAAAGGCCCATCCGAACAACTGATCGTACTGCACTGTTCATACCTATATTTTTCCTTATCTTATATGAAGAATGTATGAGAATAACATTTTAATATATTTGAAACAAAATACATTTAATTAGTAACTTATTTTAATTAACGTTTGACTTCAGATAATATCGGTGTTTTTATTAAGAAATTCATAGCAAACCTGATGCATCACCACCACTTGTGTAGACTGCAATTGATTCTCCTTTATAAAGTTTTGGAGCAATCAAAATGCCTTCATGTCCTGCAGTTGGTATTATTGAATCTGATCGGAATTTTGAAAGACGATGCCCTTGAGATGAAATTTCTTTTAAAGGGCCCAACTGATCATCATGATCTTTTACTAGATTAGCATCAGATGACTTGTCTGTATCAGATTCCATAACTGGTGTTGCTGCTATTTCTGCGTTAACTGGCACAGAAGATTCCATTACTGAAGTTATGGCTGCTTCGCTTCCAACTGTATTTATTTCTGGAGCATGTGTATTTATTTTCTCAAAAAGGAAATCAAAAAATCATGCTAATTTAATAAATAAAATTAATACCATAAGGCAATTTCTGATAGAGCAGACAATTTATAGAAGTGGTATAATGCAGCTAACATCCTAATTACTTAATAATTAATATAGTTGGATTTTGCTGTGAAGAGTAGAAATTTCAGTAAAACAATTAAAAAATTTGATAAACTTACACTCATAAAGAAATAAAAATCTTAAAATTGAATATTATTATCAAAAAACAAGTGTAGTATGCATAGTAATTAAATTTTTAAGTATGAATGATAGAAGAATAATTTAATAATTTAAATCGTTTTCTAAATTGCAATACTGATAGATCTAAACAATTGTCATCAAGTAAATATTACAAGTTTTGGAGTAAAAAACTTGAACATGCAATGTATTTGTTTAATTATTTACTAGTTAAATTTATGGGAGATATGATACCACTTAATCATTTATACCAATTTTACAATAAGTATCAATTTTAGGAATCACAATTATTTCGCATCTAATCTGATAGCTTAGTAATAAAATTTGAATCTATTTATGATATTTCTTGTTTCTTACAAATAGCTTTTTAGTGTCATGAAGTCATAATTTTATAAAGATAATGAAAATATAAACATTACAGATTTTGTGCAAGTTTACAAATTTTCTTATAATTACACAAAATGTTATTACTTAAAGTCCAATTCTACTATTCAGTAAAAGATGTATGTGTCTGTTTGTAGTTAAATTGCAGTAAAAGTAAGAATGTGTAAAATTTTGAAAACAGTTGGCTAAGATGTAAATTGCAAACATAAAGTAATTATGGGTAGTGTTTAAAATTTTTTGTTTTGAAAAAGTAAGTAAATATTATTGCCATTATTTGTTTTATTGCAATTTAACTGCTCTTCTTAATGAGATAGATATATGAATTCATAACATCAAATTTGAATTCATCCTATAAATCCTTTACAAGGGGCTATTTATAATGGCAAAATTTGAAAATTCAAGCTAAAAAGACAATAAATAAGCAAGAATCTAAATGAATACTTTGGTAATTTATAAATTCTATTAGCAATGTTAAGAAAATGCAAAGCTTTCCAGAATACCAGTATTAATTTTTTGGTTTTAAAATGAAATATAAACTCCTTTAAAAAACATTAAAAATAATTGCAGCTATAAATTGGAAGGTAATTTTTAATAAAAGCTTGTGAATATATTGGTTTCAAAAAAAGTTGAATAACAAATGATTATTGAAAACAAATGTTGATATGCATTATCAGATGCAAAAAATTAATTATCCTTCAATTTTTTATAAATATTCAATCAACTCAAAATCTTTTGAATTTATGAACTAATTTCTCGTCAGCTTTGTATAAAAACTTTTTAGAAATATGAAATGTGAAGATGTAAAATGCTAAAAACAGAAAAAAATGCAAAGCAAAAATTTCTTAGCTTTTAAAATCTAAAGTTTGCTTGCAGTGAATGAATGCTTGAAAAATATAGTGTATTATGAAGATGACTAAAAAAGTATATTCTTAAAAAAATTTTTTTAATGCAGTTTTTTTTTTTTGAATCTTTTTTATAATTTTTGTTTACAGAAATATATTTTACTGCAGAAAATATTTTGTAATGTTAGAAAAAGAATTAAAATTTGATTATATGATATTTTAATTGTAATTTCACATGAGTTCAAAATAGAATAGATATATTTTAGTAGGATAAATAATGCTAAAAGTTATTAGTTAAATATTCACTATGGCAATAGGATAAGAAGTAAGTTAGAAATAGAAGGTTTGATGATTTTAGCTTTATCTAAAAGCTAGAAATGAGTCTTAAGTTAAGGAAGGCTTCACAAGTGATATAAACATCACATAACAGACATATATATACTAAACTAATACATGAAAATATATCTCAAAGCCTTTGCATCCATCCATTGATTGTAGCAAGCAGAAAAAGTAAATGAAAGCGACGAAAGTAAATTTTCAATGAAAATAATGACATATGTCGATATTTTTCAAGTTTTGGTCTTTACTCTAAAAAATATACTTCTTGAAAATATAATTGATAATGTGATATGATGATACTTGATCAGTAATATGTTGTCATCAAAATGATATAAATTTGCTGCAGTTCCATTCTCAATCAAAATAAACTTACTTTGGCATTGATATTTGCAATAAATTTAATACATTATTTATTTGATCTTAATACCTTATTCAAAAAATATTATCATTAAAATTATAGAATTAATTAAATTCATACATATTTTTTTATAAAATTCAAAAATATTGAAAAAATTTTTGCACACATTGTAAAAAGAAAGAAAATTATTGCAATATTGAGTGCAAAAAAAGCATTTACATACATAATGTAAATGCTAGAAAATAAAGTAAAAGTGATTATCAGGCAAATATTAAAAGCAAATAAAAATACTTTTTGTTCCTTTTTTTTTTTTTTTTGATTCTGACACAATTATATTTTGAAAAATGTTCCTAATAATTATTATGAAAAAATAATAATAAAGATAAAATCTAATTATTTTAATATTTTTTTTTTACCGTAAATTATTTTTTTCGTTATTTTCACTAAATAAATTATTTAAAAAGATTGATTCATTCAATAAAAGCATTTGTCAAAAGCAAAATTATTTCGAATTATACACATAGTAGACATTAACAAGGAATAATTCACTGCATTTCTTTAATTCAGTAGCTAAGATAATTATAAACAAACTGGTAATTTGAAAAATGATAAATGATAAGAAAACAAAATAATATATGAAAAAAAACAAAACAAAACAACTGAAGACTTCAGGTTTTCACTTCATGTCAAACAATGCTTTTTTTCGTTGCATTTTTATCATTATGATGAGAATAAGTTATAAAAATAAGCAATAAAAAACAATAAGTAATAAGTAAATATTGACTTTTCTACATTTATTCAATGCAATTCTCATCCATTATAACATACATATTGATGTAAGTAAGTTAGACTGATTTTAAAATATGAAAAGGAAAAGAATTTGTAATTTTTTTTCATACGTATAGAGTACAAAATTTCAGTGTAATATAGTGATATTACTTATGGATTTTTCGTTATTTAATACAAACACATTTATGAAGTTAGATAGATAATCAAGCAATTGAGGTTTAAAAATATGATTTCATCAAATTTGCTGCTAGTAAATTTAATTTAATAAAAGCTGTACGTCTTATATTGGATAAAAGTTTTTCGAGTAATTTTGCTTGCAAGTTTACAAAAATAAAATTGTAACAAATGAATTTAGTATTAATTTTATGTATTAAAATTAGCAGTAATAGTAACAATATTATTAATGTGAGTGAAAAGACTATAGAGGATGTATTTAGTTTTTCCAAAAATACTCAAATAAGTATGCTATACAAGTTATGAATCAAATTTTATCGGTAAAGTTTGTCTTGGAATTATCTCAGCGATGTTAACAAATTTTTAATGATTAAAAATTAAGCTTTATTCAATTTTGTAGTCATTATTAGTATTAATTTTAATAAACAATAACGATAACAATAATTCTTGAAACGAAATATTTTTGAATTTATGAGTGCAATGAATAAGGCGTTTTATTAACATGTCATTCCATACTGCTGTAAAACGTAATGAGTAATACTTAATTAATTTCGATATAAATAATGCAGAAATATAAAATCCATACTTTCAATATTCCGAATGAATTGAAATTCGTTAACATGATGCTTGAATCATGAAGAAAAAATCTGTTAATTATATTTGAAGAATTACCAATGGTTGACATTTTAATTTTTAAGCACAGTTTTAAAGTTTAAAAGTTACATGAACTTATTTAAGAGTAAATATGATTTTGCATTCATGACTTTAGCAAGTAACTAGCAGGAAAAAGTTTATTAAAGAAGTAAAGGGTCTTTTTTAATTTCATTCATCAAGTCAGGATCTAAAATTTGCATATCGGGCCCGTATAAACTAGGATCAACTAGATGAATTGAACAGTGACAGACAACAATAGTTAGTATATTAATAGTTCTGGCTTTGACTTTGTAGATTTGGTTCATGCCATAATTTTTCTGCATATTTTCATAAATTGTTTATCATTTTATGACTTTCAAAAAACACGGTAAGATTTTATAAAGTAGTCTTTATTTGTCGTTATTACTGTATTATGTGAAGAATTTAGATTATGGCTGAGACTGCGATGAAAAAGAACGAGTTATCTCCCCGAATGTATCGGCGGTTAGAAGACAGAAAAGCATGGGATGCATATTGGCAGGTGAAGTGATTTCTTCGATTACAAACATGATTCATATGGTAATAAACAATCTATTTTATTGTTTCTTCGAAATTTTGATGTTTGTTATATATCCAGATATCTTTGAACTCTGTTGTATGTAAGGTTCCTAGCAGTAATCAAGCATTAGTCATAAGCAGTGCTATTCGGCCTCAGTGTATTTTTCTAGTATTGTTATTTCTTATCTTTTAGTTGCGAAAGCTTGAAAGTCAAGGAAGTTATTATATTCGACTTTTATATTATGCACATCGAATGGTAGATGCTCCAGCTACATGGTTCAGAGGTATATTTAGTTAAGCTGTTGTCATAAAAATAATAAATTAACATTTTATACAAATTTTTTATTGGAATTGCCGTTATTATTGCTTGTTGATTTTAATTAATAGAGTTATGTTCAAATTAAGCAGTGTTGAATGCAGGGGAATCGATTATTTTTGACTCATTTCGTCTTAATAAGATGCAATGAACTTTTTGACATCAGTCTTACTGTCTTTGAAATTAAGAGCGAAATGTTGTGTGTAATGAATTCAATAATTTTAAAACTTGTAAAAACCTAAATTTGAAAATCTTATCCGGTAAACGGCAACTGTTTTGTCAAATAAAGGAAGCCATGAATCGTGAAATGTGTGACTGCAATAGTATCATAAAGTCAGACATTCTCATGCTTCTGCTGTATTAGTAGGAAATAAGCACTTGTTTGTAAGTCTTCCTTGTTGATTTGGCAGAATCATTGGAATAAATAAAGAAAGGGTATTAAGGAGTTTGTTTTTAATGCCTTATTATTATAAATTAATCGGCACGAAATAAAAAGACTTATTTCCTAGGTTCTTAATCAGAACCTGAATATGGACCTAGGCATTTGTTTAGAAATGAAAACGTTGTTCAACTTATGCCTATACCTTACCCTTTAATGTCATTCAGTTGAAAGCTGCGAATGTTATTTAGCATTTATGACAATTATCATGTTTTAAATTCATTTTCGATTGTAGTATTCCCTTGCATTCAGAAAAAATTGTGGAACCTTTGAATGATAAATATCGTATGCCATATTACCATCGTAAACTGAATCGTGTTCCTGGCATTGATGAATGTGCTGTCGATGATTTGTCATGTTTTTATGAGGCTAATACTCAGTTCCGACTAGACAAGTCAGTTTTGTATATCTTTAGAATTTTATAATAATCTGGACGTGTCGGATGAGCATGAATATTCTGATACTCAATTCATTTTGTAGCATTACAGATTAGTCGACCAGTATATCCTCGACATTCTACGTTTACGACTTTCTAGATGCATGGACTATTATGCACCCAATTTCGTTCCATGTGCTAAGGTAGTTTGCTTTGGAAATTAATCCACTCATCTACCTTTAAAAAATTTTGTGAGCGGATCAATTCATTCTTTCTTGGTTATTTTACTTGAGCACCAGAGAGAAGTTTCCTGTTGCTGACATTTAAACCACCGGTGATTTTACGCACTGCTTTCTTGATAAATAAAATGTAGAATTTTTTAGTTAATAGATGACGCAGAGGAAAGTGAACTAAATTTCTTCATTAAATATGGCGAACTAGGTCAAGAGGGCGATGTTCGGGATGCTTATATGAAACAGAAACATCGAATGATTTGGGAAAGACGGCATCCGGAGATCATGAAAGCTCGCGCTGAAGCTGTGGAGGCAAGTTTAATTGCATGTTTAAGTTCGGCTGCATGTTTACTTCATTGTAAGCACTATAATTAAGTAATGAAAAATCAGTGCATGATGGAAAACTGCTAAAAAGTGAAGAATATTCGACATTTTTACGGCAAGTTATTTCTCAGTTATATTTCCAATTTACAAGTTATTTTTCAAATCTTCAGTGGTAATTTGAAGCCACTGTTTTTCTTTAATTAACCTCAAAAGTTAATTTTTGAAGGATGAAATATCACTTTCATTCTTTAATATCTAGAGCTTTGGGGCTTAAAGTAATATTCATATAACATATATAGGAGCATAAAAAACGAGTTGCAAATGGTGAATACGACTATTCATTTTGGAAGAAAGGCGCCTGGCACAGTGATAAAAGCAGAATGGAAATGCCGAATGTTGTTCATCATAGTAAACCAAGCATTGAGAGTGACAAACCGATCTCATTTGACTGGGAATTCTACAAAAAAGCAAAAGATGACCCTAAATTCTTGGAGGAAGAAAACAAAAAGCAAAGCAAGTCGTCGATATTCGGATCATGGTAATCTGTAAGTTGTTCCTTACAATAATGTAGTATTTACATTATTTCCGCGTTTTAATGAGAACTTTACGTATTCTGACAATAGCAGAAATACACTGCGAATAACTTTGTTGATGAGAGTGGGTCTTGCAGATGCGTTACTGCTTATGGAAATTAGGAACAATACTATTCGTCTGCCAGAAAAATGTGTACTACGGGAATCTGTTTGTGGATTGGAAAAATGAAAGTTGCCGCATGAGTTTTGCTTTTCAATGATTCAAATATCGAGTATCAAAAATGTTCAAGATGAGAAGCAGATGCTTTGTTATGTTTATCTAACAGTCATTTCCGCCTCTGCAGTAGATTTCAGAATATTTCAGTGAGGATAAATTTTGATTAGCTGTTGGTGTATAAATTTTAGTCACTGTTATTATTGCGATAATAATAATGTGTGCGCTGGTCTTAGGGCATGTAACATTTATGTTTCTTTTATTTTTAGGTTATTAACTCTAAGAACATAAAACATTTTTATTCGTAGCACCGTACAATCATTGGAGAGAATATGAATATTAGAAATGTAATATAAATCGTACGGTAGTCCTTTCGTAACTCAATAAAAACAGTATTAGTTCGTTCTCATAAAAAACATTACAAAAAACTTGCACGAAAGAGAACCCACAAGTACAGCAAGCTTATCACTCTGTGTCATCATCGGCTTGTTCATCTTGTAGTTTTTGTTGTTTCCGATCAGGAGATAATCGAATACTCTGAATAAAATACCATATAAGCGAAAGTATTGTTAAAGTCAGTTTTTATTGATAGGGAACTTAATTTCAATTACTTTCTGACCTCATTTGTGCTCCTCTTATGCGCGACTGACTCGTCATTTTCATTTTCTATTGTTCCCTCTCCCTCACTACCATCTTCACTTTGCGAATATTTGAATCGAAGCTGATCGATTTTTGGAAACAGTGTAGGAAAACACTGGCGTATCAGTTCGGTCCAGGCATCTTGTAACGTTTTACTACTAGAACATGAGCTGTATCGACTTAAAGTTTAATAACCATGAGATCTCCAGTCGTCATATTAGAAGTATTGTGAAAATGACTCAAGCGCTGGCAAGTAATGGCATATTTAAGTTTAAAGTAAATTAAATGACTTACTTGAGAGGAGCTTATTTGAACTTCATACCCTTATATCAACTTACTTGTTATAAATGGGTCTACCCTTGACTTGTGGATGTCTAAGTGTCATATGAATTCGAACATGAACTGCTTCACTACTGGCATATGGGCACTCTGGACATTGATATTCTTTCAAGCAATAATGTCGTTTAATATGATTAATCAACGACGAAACTGACTCGCAATCCGGGAGCACTTGTTGGCAGATCTAGAGTAAACTAATGTTCAATGGCAGTAATACACACAGATTCGGATATATGGAAAATTACAGTGGAATTAAAACGAAGTAAACGAGTCCGGAAACTATTACCTCACATTTAACGTCCTTTAAATCACTGCTATTTCCATTAATCACAGTCAGATTAATATCAAAAAATTCATTCCTTTGTTCGTTTCTTGATGACATGCTTTCGAGCTCTTTCAACAACTGGCTCTCTTCTTCCTTGACTGCTACTGTGGCTGCATATGAAAATTTTAGAATCACTGTTTAACATAATTCCTTAAAATGTAGTACAGAAGAAGTAACCGTCAATTCCAACTCACTTGGTGTATCAGGAAAATATTTGTGAATAAATATGAGAGGGTTACTTCCAGCTTCCATTGTAACAATGTCCACTTCTGCTGCAATTTCTGAATGCTTCAGCATGATATGAAGACGGACCTTCCACTAAAACATAATGATGACTACTTGATTTTAATTTTAGAATCAGTCTAACATAATTCCTTAAAACTCAAGGCTAAATTAAAAATACAACAACCCACAAGTACGAATTTCAAAAGTTGCTAAACTTAATTACATTCAAACTACCTAAGCCTATTATCCAAATCAGACAATCCATCTCTCTAAAAATTATAAATTAATAAGCTTACTTGATCCGCATTTGGATATCCACATTGTCCGCAGCAATAAGGAATACAATCACGTTTATGCACTTTATCAAGGTGATCAATGAGAAAATCAACATTAATCTGTTTATTACATTCGACGCATGGATATGAAATGCTGCCCTGTGGGCGTTGACTTCCCATGCATTTATTTATTGAGAACTGTAAATAAGTGGTAATATTGAACTGCCGTGACATATAGAACAAAATTTCAACTCAGAGAAAACGTATTAACTTTTCACTAACGTTAGAAATTGGGCAGTAACTGCAATACCTTGGAATAGTTTGGGAAACACTGGTCCATTAATAAATCCCATTGGTGCTGCATTTCAGGCGTTAAGACATCCAAAGGCTGACTTATATAATCGTTATGGTTATTCTGCATATGCAGACGAACCTATAAATCCGATGCCTTTTTCATTCTCTGCATGACAAAATAGCAAAACGCTTATTCGCATACTGTCAATACCCAAAAGCTAATCAAAATTTCATATAGAATGCTGTCGCTTGACTACCGATTCAAATTTTTTAAATATCAGAAATTACACCAAGAAAAAGATGAACAAGGATCAAAAGACGAACTTTAGCTATTTCATTATGAGTGTAGATGCAATGAATGCACTGAAATTGCTTGAGAAGTGCATGACGTCGGACATGATTTGTCAAGTTAGAGAGACGATTAGCCATGATCTTACTCTGACATATCTGACAAACGGCATACAGAGATGAATCATCATGATCTGTAATGATTTCCGATTCTCTTGAACGAGCTGCAAATAGTGTGGGTGACGGTATCGTATTTACGATAGATGTAGAACGAGTGCTGTTGGAGGCAGACGAATTTGAGCACAGATGATGATTCATTTGATCTTCAGCATAAATTGCAGTGGTACCACTTTCGTTGAGAGGTATCATCGAACCTGATATATTGACTCTTCTGCGAAGCGATGTGACGCCACAAGACGCAATATTATTATCAGGGTGTAATGCTTGGATGAATACATCATTACGAATTTCATTAACAAATGATACTTCTGGGAATCCATTGTTCAACTGGAAAAGGTAAAAAAAACGAGAAAATGAATTATTAGTTTGAGCTAGTTTTATTACTGATATCAATTTTTATCTCACTGTATCAAGTAATATAATCATGCAATTCTATTTATTGATAACATTAATGTTTAATTATTAGATCAGGATCCTTGACTTATATGGCTCCTTGTTTATTACTGCAACAAAATATGTAATCAGAAGCAAGGTAAAATAATTTTGGTATTCCTTTCTAAAGCAGAGAAGTGCTACAATAAGGTAACTGTAGTTAGTTGCAAAGAGTTCTCATAACAGAATTCAAAGATTAAAAGACTTCCTAACAATACCG